GTCATTATTCCTGCTTTGTCTTGGTACCTTGATTAATGAAATACATTTTGTAATTGATTAACTATTCAAAATTATCATTGTTATGTATTAGATATTAGGGGGGGGGGGGGGGGGGGGGGTTAACCCTATTGGGTGCATGTACTTTACACTTAGATATCATGGTAAAGAGAAAAGGATAGATTTGTTAATTTAGGAGGTGAAGTCTTGTCTACAATTTAATCATATTTTATTGTAAAGCAGGATAGTTGCAAGATATCCAATTACATTTAATGAAATGTTGGTGTAAATATTTTTAGTTCTATATTACAAGACTGACAGTAGGCCATGAAAGACAGATGTTGAAAGTACCTTATATATCAGTGGATGAGCAACCCAACAACAATTTAAAAGAAAAAAATTAAAAAGACATCTATAGGTTACTTTTAATTGTCAACAGTTGACAAGTATCTGTCTATTTTACATGTCAAGCTCTGAATGTTCAAGAGTCTAGACAAAATTACTGAAAATAAACAAAATTAATTATTAAATAGATTAGACAGAGAATTTCAAAGATGTGCTATCAACACCCGAATCTTAAAAGCACAAAAATCACTATGATTTAAACAAAGACAGCCTCTGACAAGTTTTAAAACCTGATTCCAGTACATTAGCATGTGGTGGAATTAAAGTTGTTCATTATATTTAATTTATAACTAAACAACTCTGTATTTTTATTCATATATGGCATGGATAATTATATTTGTATACAGCACTAAGTATTTAACATGAGAATTCTATATTTTCTGATATTTTTACTATCAGTTCAATTGTAATTTGATTTGGATTTGGAATTTTGTTGTTAAAAGCATGCAAAATGAGAATTTGAATAATTCAAGTTAACAGAAGTTATGTTTTACTGCAAAATAGAAATCATCTTTTAAATAGCATCCTTTTTCTCAAACCATACCAACTGAGTTCATTGTAGTATGTCAACTCCATATTCTTCTGTTTTAAATTGAGTTATCTCCCATTAATCCAAAATTTATAGTTTTAAAGGAAAAAATAATTGTTTCTTGTTTTAATGTTAACGGTATAAGCTTTAATCAGGCTGTATATTTTCCCTTTGAAATTGTTTCACATTTTGTATTACTTGGGCCTTTTAATTAAAGATGTATAGCTTATGATGGGGTATGGGGTTTGCCCAATATTAAAGGATGTACAGTGACCGGTAGTTGTTGGTGAATAGTTGTCTCATTTGGCAATCATACAACATCTCATAATTTTTGCCACAAACAATTATGCTTTTCAATTTCTGGATGTTTGTATAAGCAAAACATACTGTGAAAATATCTATGTGTTTCTACACTTTTTAATTGAAGTATTTTGATAGAAATGTAAACTCCACATACTTTTTCATCAATAAAACTATTATTTAGAAAAGTTTTTTCAAATAAAATTTTTCGTTTTGTTAGAAGATTGATATATGATATAACATGTATTTAGGTGATAAGAATTTCCAAGGTTTTAACATGTCTATCTTTTCATCAGAAAGAGAATATTTCATGATGATGATTGCTATTTTAAAAGTACATATCTTAAAATGGACAGTTTGTTTAGGTTAGGCGATGTTATGCCAGTGGGAAACTTTGATAATTGTGTTTTGATACGGAGGTATTTTTCAACATTCCTCCCCATTTTGTTGATATTTAGTAAGTTGATAACTGTTGAAAAACATATGTTTGACTGTGATGTTTAATGGTTAAGTAAACAAGGTTGTCTGATGGAGGATTACTCAGATGAGATAGGCAGGAGGGGTTCTGATAAAACAAGGGTAATTTAATACCTTTTTAGTTGGGAGGAGAAACACCTGTAAATTGGGGGAGGGTAGCATAAAGGAGAGAATGATAATGCAGGAAGGGGTTCCTATGAAAAAGGGGATTTTTTATAATTTCAGTTAAGTCTTCAGATACCCCCCAGGGGATATTAAGAGAGTTAAATTAGAGAGAGTAAGGAAGTTTGGGTTCTGATAAAATAAGGATATCTTACACTTTTTTCAATTTTTGGTTTTGATGAGGTTCACATAGATGATCAGAGAGGGTCAGGATGGCTTCAAATCATTGAAAAATATAGTATGTTTCTATTGAGAATTAGAGAAAAAAATAGATACAACATTTCTTGTTCTGTTTGATTGATTGTTGGTTGCTTAATGTCCAGTGGCAAATATTTCATGCATGTTCAGGATGATTTCTTGTTCTGTTATGTTTTTGAAAACAAAAAGCTGCATGGTTTCTAGAGAGAAAAAAAAAGTTGGTCCTGAAAAGGTCTTTGTACCAAGGTTAAAGTTAGACAACTGACCTACTTTTTATCCTCCACTGTCTTTAAAATGTCACTGGAATACACTGCATGCAATTGATATTTATTCAGTAGATTTTAAAATATATTTGTCTAATTGGCTAGTGAAAAAATAAAAAGTACTATAGATATTGAATGAATTTTTTGTTCCTTTTTGCTCTGGGACCTTTCTCTGAAACAACCAGTTAAAAATTTTGGAATATTGAACAACCGAAGAAATGGTACTGAATAAAAAAAATAGGGATATATATTTTTGATTATGGCATAACAGGGAAATGAAATTAAACAGAATATCTTTTAACAAAAAGAGTATATACACCTGTTTCACAGGGCAAATAAATCTTACGTCAAAATAAGATCAGGTAAAAATAAACCATGGGAAAATATTTCTTGCTAAAAAACATGATAAGCAAAGCTGTTATATTTTGTTTTTTGTTTAAAAGTTTAGATTTAGATAATGTAATATAATTGATAGGAGGTAATTTTTATGTCATTATTTCAGAGAAGTTCTCGACATGACATTGGTAAGATTTAAATTGATTGTGTAACCGTAATCGTAGGAAACATGTTGGTTCATTTACACAAATAGATACCATTTGTTCTGTTAATGATCAAGTTACTAGATCGAGGATTGAATGCTTGGTACTTGATCACTACATTTACACAAATAGATACCATTTGGTCTGTTACTGATCAAGATACTAGATCGTGGATTGAATGCTTGGTACTTGATCACTACATTTACACAAATAGATACCATTTGTTCTGTTTCTGATCAAGATACTAGATTGAGGATTGAATGCTGGGTACATGATCACTACATTTACACAAATAGGTACCATTTGTTCTGTTACTGATCAAGTTACTAGATCGAGGATTGAATGCTGGGTACTTGATCACTACATTTACACAAATAGGTACCATTTGTTCTGTTACTGATCAAGATACTAGATCGAGGATTGAATGCTGGGTACTTGATCACTACATTTACACAAATAGGTACCATTTGTTCTGTTTCTGATCAAGATACTAGATCGAGAATGGAATGCTGGGTACTTGATCACTACATTTACACAAATAGATACCATTTATTCTGTTTCAGATCAAGATACTAGATCGAGAATAGAATGCTGGGTACTTGATCACTACATTTACACAAATAGATACCATTTGTTCTGTTTCTGATCAAGATACTAGATCGAGGATTGAATGCTGGGTACTTGATCACTACATTTACATAAATAGATACCATTTGTTCTGTTACTGATCAAGATACTAGATCAAGAATTGAATACTGGGTACTCACTACATCCTGCATGCTTATAATGCTTGTCTTTACTTGCATCTTTATTAGTATTTGTCATTCACACACAGTGCCAAATATTAAAAAAAAAATACTAAATTCTCTTCCAACTCTTTTGAAAAATTATGAGGAGGGGGTGTTTTGTTTACCAATTTTGGTGAAAAACACTAACAAAATAATAGAAAAATATTTAGAAATAATAAAAATATAGAACTAGTTTTAAGGTGGTACCAAACACCTTGACTAAAATTAATTTGGCTTGTTTAATTTTCATAAAATTTTGACAAAATATTTATTTTGACCCTTTGACAAAAATATAGAAATTTCAAAAAACTTGAACCACACACTTTATTAGAAAAATTTCATTGGATATATAGCAGTTTGACAAACACTAATTTTAATCATTGAGAAGCTTAAGGTAGATCATAAGTATATATTTTTTGAGACAGAATTTTATTATAATTTGCCAAAATGAAGATTTTAGTATGCTTTTTTCAAAAATGTAATAAAAAGTATGGGTCACCGTGCTATTTTTCAAGCTATGAGTCGTTGAAAATAGCCTAAATTTGGTTAGATTGTTCATGAAAAAACACATTTGTGTGCATAAGAAAAATTCTATGAGATAGAATTTTGAAATAAATTGTGAGAAGATAGGTTTCATAATATGTTTTAAGAAAAGAAAAAGAAAAAATGGTGTCACCAAACTTGTTTTCTTGCTACAAGTAGAAATTAAAAATTTCCCTATTAGTGCAGTATAAATTGTTTACTAAAAGAGTTATTTCCCCTGAAATGGCTCATTTAAAAAAATGATTATAAAAACAAAAAAAAAGGTATTTGTTTAAATGTTTTGAATTATACAATAAATCACCAAGTGTTCTTTATATAAATAAACAGTCTAAGCATAAAATTGCAAATCTGTCTCCAAATTTGCAGATTTGGGCAAATAACTAGACCGATTTTGTACGGCGATTGTACAATCCAAGATGGCGGTATACCATGAATCTACCTTAATATTTCCTTAACAATAGAATGTATTTGAAACATTCAGCTGATTTTTACAGAGTCATCTCCCTGTAGTGTTATGTAATATAACAAAATAATTTGGTTCTGTAGAAAGGGGTGTGAATCTAGGTAATTTTGTATAATGGCCTGATCTAATGTTTTTGGCCCATTTAGTAATTTGGCCTACATAAGATGTCAGATATTTGTTTAAGTGTTTGTTTTGGGACAATACAAAGCCTACCATCATAGAATTTGGTTGTTTTAAGACTGTGCGATGACATCTTGACTTTTGGTTTGTTCATAAACTTAGATCTTGTTTTATTGATATGATAATTGTGAACTAACATGTTGTTGTTTTTTTCAGGCTGGTTGGAGAAGCCGTTGTTTCAACAAGATGGCAGCATGAAATTTCAGCAGCGTCTTGTATGTATTGCAGCTACAAGTCTAATTGTTGTCGTTTACCTGATATTCCTTGTAAATGTTCACCTTGTAAATCTCCAAGATTCAGAACATATAAAAGTCAGTCTCCGTGAATCTCCTCTTCATCTAACTCATTATGATTGGCAAGAACCAGACCAACAGAAGTGCCGTGTGCTGGACAACCTCGAGTCATTTTCCAACTTGACATCGCTGTATCTCCGTGACAAAGCTAGATATGATACACTTAGCAATGGTCAGTATGAACTGCCTACCAAATCTTTTGATCCTGACGACATTCCAGAAAAATTAAATGTCATTTTGATTCCACATTCTCACAACGATGCTGGTTGGTTGCGGACTTTGGAAGAATACTATATTTACACGACAAAGAAAATTCTAAATAATATGGTGATCAAATTAAAACAATATCCAAATATGACTTTTGTATGGGCTGAATCAGTGTTTCTCAGCATGTGGTGGAATGAACTAGAAGACGATACGAAAGTTCATGTTCGGAATTTAGTGAAGCGTGGACAGTTAGAGATTGTGTTAGGAGGCTGGGTAATGCCAGACGAGGCCTCAACCCATTATGTTTCAGTGATCGATCAACTTATGGAAGGACATTTATGGCTTCATGAAAACTTACATGTAAAACCTCACAACAGCTGGTCAATAGATCCATTTGGACATTCTGGGACAATACCATATATACTTAAAAAATCAGGCATAGATAATATGGTCATACAAAGGATTCATCAGGCAACGAAAGGTGCCCTTGCATCAGTTAAAAGTTTGGAGTATAACTGGCACCAACCATGGGATATGACTGGCAAAAATGATATTTTATGCCATGTGATGCCGTACATGTTATATAGTTTTCAATATACATGTGGACCTGATCCGTATGTTTGTTTTCAATTTGATTTCTGTCATTCTGATAATCCTGAGAAAAAGTCCTATGCCAAAAGGAAAATAACAGGTGCCAATATTGATAAAATGGCCAATTTCTTATACCAGCAATTCCGTAAGAAATCCAGCTTGTATGCATATAATACAATTCTTGTGCCAATAGGGGATGATTTTAGATATGATTCTTTGCACGAATGGGATGAACAGTACAATAACTACCAACGATTGATGAGGTATTTAAATTCTAGAAAAGACTGGAACATCAATGTACAGTTTGGAACAGTTGCTGATTATTTTTCACTTCTCAAAAGAGAAGGTAAGAAAAAGAGTTTTCCAACGTTAGCAGGAGATTTTTTTCCTTACTCTGATCAAAATTATCTTTATTGGACAGGATATTACAGTACAAGGCCATTTGATAAGCGCTTCTCACGTGAAGTTGAATCAAATTTGAGAACTGCCGATATTCTCAATACTCTTGCATTTGGCTACTGCAACAAATGGAATGTGAAGTTTGCACACTCTCATGACACTGCTTCACTTTTACAGCAAGCCAGACGACACTTGGGACTATTTTTACATCATGATGCAATAACTGGAACATCAAAAGATTATGTTATGGAAAATTATGAAAGCAAACTTTTAGAAGCTTATAATGACACCCAAAAAGTTATGAGTATGGCTCTGCAGACTTTATTGACAAAAGGACAATTTACATCTCCATTAATTCTATCACCAGATCTCGTTAGACAAAAGTTTAATGTCAGAACAAGTCAACGGACCATCTCAATTTCCGATTCAGGAACCACCATAGTTGTGTTCAATCCACTACCTAAAAATAGAAATATGTTAATTTCTTTGATAGTTAACACTGATAATTTACAAGTTTTGGATAGAAATATGAAAGTTATGTCATATCAACTAAATCCAGTATGGATTTCTAAAGTTTCTGTTTCTACATCAAAGTTTGAAATTACATTTTTGGTAGAGTTACCTCCTCTTGGAATACACACATTTTTATTGAGAAAAGGTGCATGTAAGGAAATGTATCCTTCTTTACTGAGTGTTTACAATTCAATGGAGTTAGATGTTGCACCAAATTTAAAGTTTGCTCAGAATCGTCCCGTATTCCAACCAAAACAAAGTCAGAAATTACGAATAGAAAATGACTTTGTTTTGGGAGAATTTGACCCTGTTACAGGACTTTTACAGAAAGTGCTAGATAAAAGGACAGGAAATGTCACAAATATTCAAATACAATTTATGTATTACATATCAAGAGGTAGTGGTGCATATATATTTTTTCCGAAAGGGGAGGCAAATCCGTTACCTAATGTCTGGGGTCAACCTGTTGTACGAGTAACAGAAGGGCCCCTTATGTCAAAAATAGAGGTTTTACATCCAATAGTTCATCATACAGTTATTCTTTACAAAGTGCCAACAGAACAAGGCCAAAACTTTCACATACAGAATGTTGTAGATATGCATGCATCTAAAACGAAAGACTGGGAAATTATAATGAGAATGCATACAGATGTTATGAACGCAAATCTTCAGTATTATAGTGATCAGAATGGGTACCAGTTGATAAAACGCAGAACTAAATCCGAAATTGGGATAGCAGCTAATTATTTCCCTATGACTACTATGAGTATTATCGAAGATTCTTCCAAACGTGTAACTGTCCACACAGGACAAGCTCATGGCGTGGCAAGTTTACATCAAGGAGAAATAGAAATCATGTTAGATAGACAGTTAATGTACGATGATAATAAAGGACTCGGACAGGGGGTCACAGACAACAAACCAACACTCAGCGAATTCATTTTACAGATAGAATATAGAGACAACACAGAACCGGAACCAATGACAACATCTTCATCATTGTCAGCCTTGATAATTAATGAAGCACTTCAGCAACCACCTGCAGTGTTCTACACAACAATTAACTCTGAGGTCATTAGACCGAGCTTTGATATAGCAAGTCAATCTTTACCCTGTGATATTTCATTGGTCAGTTTGAAAAACTTGGTGAACTCTGACCTTGATTATGATGGAACCAGCTTAATTTTACATCGTAGAGGATATAAATGTGGATTTAATGCAAATTATCTTCAGTGTCCTTTAAATAAGGATGTAACTTTGTCTTCCATTTTACCAGACTTGACAATAAGTGGTGCAAGAGAGACAACTCTTACACATCTGTACAACAGAAGTAAAGCACTGGTAATAAAAGATCCTTTGAACATTCCTGTTATGGAACTAGCAACCTACAAAATCATTCTGTGATCGTTTGTTAGATTTTATTTATGTTCTATTTCATGTCCAAATATTTTCTAATATTTCAAACACCTGGGAAAAGACAGGCTATCAAAGTTAAAACCTCTGTTTCATGTCCAAGTATTTTCTAATATTTCAAACACCTGCGAAAAGATAGGCTTGAAAAGTTAAACCTCTGTTTTGAAGCTTATCAGAAATCTTTGAATCTGTATTCTCTTTTGGATTTACAGCTTCCATCTGGTCTACAATGATATGTCTGATCATGTATTCTGATATAATTGAATATCACATCTTTATTATTTTATCATGTGGAACTTTTCTACACTTATTGCAAAAGTGTGTTATAAATTAGGGGAATTATGTTGGATATCTTTTTGTAGGTGATAATTTATGTGATAAAAAAGGGACATATCAAATGTGAAAATTCAGACAAAACAAACTTTTTTGCAATCATGTAAAAATGAATACAGATTTCTCTACATCATAGAGAAAGGGCTTATATAAGGACAATTTCAGTATATTATACGAGTCCATTGGAAAATTGTGGGAACACTTGATTTGTGGTGTGTATTTTATTATTGGTAATGACAAATTATGGTGCTTCCATTTGTTAATTCCTAAGTCATTTCACAGCCTGTGTGTAGATCTGGTAAATTTTATAAAAAAAATTATCCAAAAGGGAGTTGGTTAAATTTCCTTTATTGTTTTACATTTGATGAAAGTAATGCAGGCAAGACAAAGCAATACTGCAAGTTCATGTTGTAAACAATTGCTTACTTATAGGTCTTATATTAAAGTTTTGATACATGGTGAATAAATACAGTAAATCCAAATAGATTTATTTTAAATTGGACAGAGGCTTCTTTTTGACCAAAGGGTAATGTCCAATAATAAAATTCAGTAAAGATTGAAATGGATTAAGGCCAATGGCCAAAATACCATTGTTTCTGATTAATTACACAGTTAAGTATACAGCCCCATGTTAATCACAGAAGTGGTCACAGCTGTTATATTATTTTTTTCTGTTAAAAATACATCAGAAGCTGAACTTTTAAAAAAATGTATTGCCTCTCTCCTGAAGACAATTATTCCTACCACAAGCAGCTGTCAAAGTATTATTTACAAGACTGATTTTTTATATATATATATATATATATATATATATATCACTCTCTATTGAAAATCTAATTTTTGGATAGAAACTGATGATTCAAATCGTACATGATATGATTCAATTCCAAGGAGCATTGTAGTTACACTGAAATAAACACTTAATAAATATAGTTGTGATGAAAGATATCTGTCAGAAAGCCATGTTGAATCATATAATAAAAAGACTCTCTAGGTAATTGTTCAAGTGAACAGTTACAGCCATTATCTGATTTATATCAAACTATAAAAAGATATAGCTATCAATTTAATCAATATCAAGTGGAGATGATTCAGTATTTAATCAGAATTCATCCAATATGGGAAAAGAGGGATAACTCAGATTTATTCTTGGATTAAAGTATTTGCAGAATAAATGTTTCTTTCACTTATTTGATATTTTATGTAGAAATGATCTTTCTTTCAACAAAGTTCATTATTTTTAGCTGACAATTTTATAGATGAGAGAACGAAAATAGTTATATAATTTTTTTTTAGCTTTTGTATGTGCAATAAAAGGTGCTATAAACATAAGCTGTGAAATGAACGAGAACATTCCATGTATTGATATGTGTATATGTTATTGAGAGATGTATTATATTATATTATTTCATTTTTATGTGAGTTATTTCCCTTTGTTGTCATTGCATCATAATTATTTTTTTATATTTTTTTTCTGTCTTTTATGAATGATTATTTGATTTCGATATATTCATTAATTTAAGTAGAAATAGATTTTAATCATCAGTAAAGATTCTCATTAGAGATATTGTTTCCATTTCGATGGAAAAAATATGCTGTTTATTCAATAAATGAGAGTTTTTTAGGGTACTTTGAAACTGGCGAATTTGTCGTTGACAATTATTTTTAAACTAAAAGAAGGTTTGCGAAGAAAAGAAATCTTCTGTAACACTAAATAATTAGCAAAAAAATTGTGTTTGTTTGATAGTAAGGGGCCATGTTTCGAAGCACCCACTTGAAGTTTTTCAAATTTATAAAAAAAAATATTTCCATATTTTCAAAAATGGTAGCTCATAACTTAAATGCACCATACCTGATGACAGCAAATAAAGGTCAATTATTAAATGCAAATATTCTACAAGATTATGGTTTTTGCTGTTAAATTGCTTTTTAGAAAAGAGCCAGTGGAAAATATGGTAATTATCTCCCTTGTGATCATGTTGATCAAGAATTATGATTTATTTGAGAGTTGTTGTCTCCCTTTGCTCTGGAAGAGAAAATAGATTCTACTGTGTGGTGTTAAATGGAGATTACTTATGATATTTTTTTTCATTTATTATATTTGATTTATAATTTTGACAAAGGTCAAAAAGTATTGAATACACAGATGTTAACCTTTTAATAAACTGTAACAATGTAACCAGCCGTATCTGGCTGTATACATTTTCAGTCAATCCGAACATTTGCATACCAATGTGGATTCCATACTATGTTGAATTATATAACTTTCAACACTTTATCACACAGCTAGGACTGCTTATTATAATTGTAATCTTGTCTGTCCCAAATTTCCCTGGGGTTGTCAGAGGTACAAGATGTCTAATTTCATAACCGTTTCAAGAAAGAAACTCGAATTTAGTTAAGTTTATAAAATTTATATTCTTGTATATTCAAATCAGTACCAACCATGCCAAACTAGTATTTTATAAGGATGACCAAAAAAACTGTTTTTTTTTCAAATTACATGTTTACAAATTGTATTTCACATGTTTTCATGTTAAAAGGCTGTTAACAGCAATCTTTTGTGTAAAAGGTGGTAAAGGTTTCTTTTAATTTTGAGGGCACACCCCTGCTATGTTCTACTTTCATACAATGACATATATTATGTATAGTTTACGGTATACTAAGGATTTTTTTTATATATATATTGAATAGCTTTACCATTGTGTCTACGCAAAATGATTTTATAGTATTTTTAAGCCATTACTAACATTACATGAACACATGTCTCATTGGTTTCTTTAACTGGTTGATTGTAATCATTAACAATGTACATTTCCATTGCGTTTTATCGTATACAATTACACGTTTTATAGGAAAAAATCAAACAGAACGCAAAAAGCAGGTTATTTATGGATTGAAAAATGATAAATAATTACACTGTTTTAATCACATTACATGGATTTATTACTCTGAAACCATAATTAATATTTTTTATTAAAGTAATAATATTTGTCAATGAAATATTTGGGGCTACATCATGCAATAATAATTTCACAGCATTATCTGATAAATATACATATTTTCCTATGGGAATATAATTTTATAGTTTACGTAAGAACTCATCAAGTAAGGCTATCTAATATATATCTAGGTTTAAATTAATCATATATTTTTAGTAGGCATAAATGGTTTTATGGTTTTACCTTTAATTGCCAACAGCTATAGAAGTAAAAAATACCTGGTGACAATAAACAGAATGTGACACAGTAGGGTTTCAGTTAGAGGTATTGGCTTGAAGCAAAATATTTTTTTTGTGATGACATGTGTATCAGTCCCTTTCAGATTCTTTGTTGTCTCCAGCAGTTTACATTTCTTTTTTGGATTTCCTCTAGTATATTATCCTGTTAAATTACACTTTTTATAGGCCAAATTTAATGATTAATCGATGTGAAGTGTAATAAAGTTGCACAATTTTTTTCCACAGAAAAGGAATTTATACTTTTGGAATCACAGTTGTAATGTACAGATCACATGAATAATCTCTAATTTTCAGATCATATATGAATAATCTCTAATTTTCAAATCATATATTAAAAATCTCTAATTTTCAAATCATATAAAATAATCTCTATTTTTCAAATCATATAAAATAATCTCTATTTTTCAAATGATAATCTCTAATTTTCAAATAAATAATCTCTGATTTTCAAATCATATATAAATAATCTCTATTTTTCAAATGAATAATCTCTAATTTTCAAATCAATTAAATAAACTGCAAAATGTCAGTGAACAAAATGTGGGGTACCTGATAATTAAGGTTCCATCTCATGCATATACATTTTACCCATGGGAATTCAAGTATATAATTCATGTAGACAAATCATCAAGTGAGACTATCTATATATCTGGGCTTTAAATAAATAATATATTTTTAAGGTGGACATAAAATGGTTTCATGCTTTTTTATCCTTCATGGTCAACAAATATCTCTATGGACACTGTGATAAGAAATATACAGCATGTAACATCATAGCGGTTGCTTTTCACAGATCAGATTTAAAAAGTTTTTATCATGACATAGTAATATACTGAGAGTTATCATGTTGATTTCAGATCTTCAAATTTTCCCTTTTGAATGTATTCAAACTTGTCAGAGTTGTCTGGACTTTGAGAAATTTAGACCTTAAAATATTGTATACCAGTCCTATAAACACTTCTTTATTGTTTATTGTTGAAGATTTGTGTTGACCTGAAGATGAATTGGGATTTATTTGTATAGCAGGGTTATATCTGTTTTATTTAAGGTACATGTGTATGTATTGAACTTCATGGTGTTTGGTCTTAGGAAGTAGACAGGGGTCTCACTGTCAATCAACCACATTTTATATTCTGGATTATAAATAATGATTTACTGTAAAATGGTTTTTTTTTCCATTGTATACAGTAAAATCTACAAGTAAATTTTAGACATCAAATGATCTTTTACAGTTACACATAATATACAGCCTGATCGCACCTCAGCTTTTTCATTGCAAAACAATAATTTCTTTGATTCATGAGTCCACAATCTTTACAAACATAACAGATAATTTTTGTTGTTAACATTGTAGTTTTGTCTAGACATCAAATGTGATTCTTGTATTTTCATCAATTTGGAAACTAGAATGAAAATGTCTTTTTAATGATCTTCATATTAATTTTAATTTTCCTTGAAGTTGAGACGCAATAGTGTTAACACATTTTCATGTGTCCACACTTTATCTACAAGCACCCAAAAATTCAAATTTCCTTAATGATTTCAGATTGTTTATAAAAAATTGACCTGATATTTTCTTCTGCTAATTAGTGCTGTGAAAGGATAGTCTGTTTTTAATCAACAAGCATAAATACTGTAATTAGGTATTTAATCAACAATAAATGAGGGTCTAGATGTGGATCCTTTATTTCTTTATTCTTTATATTTGATATCATTTTCCCTCTATTCTTTATTTATTTTGCCCGTTATTTTCTATTTTAGCTCCCCATTATTCTCCATTCTATATTTTTTGGGGTCATTTATTCTTCAGATTTTGCCTATGATTCTCTATCCTGTAAACCCCATTCAAACCCTCATAACTTATAGATGACTCTCCATCAACCGAGATTGTTTACTTCCAATACTAAGGCCATCAATGAGTTCATCATATATTGATGACTATAATTGATATACCTTCAAAGGTTATTATTTTGTAACACTCTGTAGGTGACACTTAAATTTGTTGTCAGGTTGTTATGGCAACCAAATCATTAGTACTATTACTTTGGGATTTTGTGTAAATATTTATTATGTTTTTCATTGTGCAGTGTTTATAGCTTCAGGGGTGAAAATGGTTCTATATTTATAATAAACTTAAGTATCATTATATAGCTGTGGTTGTTTTCTGCCTCCATTTTAACTATGAAGTCACGGCCTATTACATGCACAGATTTATCTTACAATCAGCTATTCCTATATACTGATAATCTATCTAGGGGTGTTTAAAGCCATATATTGGACTTAGACACAAATTTATCTATTGGTCCCAGGTACTACAGGTGAAAGATACCAAAGGGATATTCAAACTCATAAGTAGAAAAGAAACTGACAATGCCATGACAAAAAAAGGGGGGGGGGAACAACTATATATGACTAAGTTGATACAACAGTCTACAAAACACAACACAGAAAGCTAAAGGTTGAGCAACAGGAACCCCACCAAACACCATAATGTTTTTATTGGACAGTATACTGATACACTAACGTGATACATGTATTTGTATATTATATAAACATCTTCTACAGGTTTCTGCTTCTATGTAATTTTATATATTCAATTTACTGTTAACCTCACAGTTCATTTTGGTGTCTTATTAGTCCCCTACCAACGAAGTCGAAGGGGACTTTAGGTTTACACTCTGTCTGTCTGTCTGTCTGTCCATCAGTCCTGCCAATCAGTTTTCCACACTTTTTTTCTTCCTGCTTGAAGATATTGATTTGATATTTGGTGTATTGTTTTATCATGACAAGTTCGAATTTTGTTTCGGTGTGGTGATTTTGTGCAGAGTTATGGTCCTTGAACTCAGAAAATTCACTCAAATAATCAGTTTTCCGCACTTTTTTTTGTCATGCTTGAAGATATTGATTTGATGATTGATATATAGTTTTATCATGACAAGTTACAGATCAAGTTCGAATTTTGGTCCGGTCTAATGAATTTGTGCAGAGTTATGGTCCTTGTACTAAAAAATTCACTCAAATAATCAGTCTTCCTTACCTTTTTCCTCATGCTTGAAGATATTGACCTGTTATTTGTTATATAGTTTACACCATGACAAGTTATAGATCAAGTTAGCATTATGTTCCAGTACAATGAATTTTTAACCGGTAGGGGACTATGTATTTTCCAGGCGATACTCACAGAATGCTTGTTCATGATTCAATCTTAACCAATCTGTATTTCTAAATAAAAATGACAAGTGCTGGGAGAGAATAAAGGAAATGTCAAAAAAATATACTGAATATAAAAATTAGATATGATTGCCAATAAAACAACTCTCCACCAGAGACCAGATGATGTAAAAGTAAGCAACTATAGGAAGCTGTGTGGCCTTCAACAATGAGCAAAACCCATAACTATGGAACGCCACAGCTGTCTTATGTGGAACTCTGATATTACGTTATGTTGTTTTATTATTATTTGATGATATTTGTCTTTACATTATATGGTTTTGACATTACGTAATGATGTTTTGATATAACTCAATATGGAATAGTCATTATTTAATGATATGTCGATATTACACGATATGGTTTCGTATTGACTTGATATAGTTTTGTCATTACTTAATATGGTTTTGTCATTACTCGATGTGGTTGTGTCATTAGGCAATGTGGTTTTAACATTACTTGATGTGTATGTGACTTAACGTAATGTAGTTGTTTCATTACATGATGTGGTTTTGTTATTTCGTAATGATGATTTGCCAATTCTTTATATGGCTTTAACATTACGTAATGATGTTTCAAAATTTGACGATTTTACACTACATGATGTGTTTCACGGTTTCATTATTTGATGTGGTCCTGTCATTCTTTGATGTGGTTATCACATTACTTAATGAGGTAAAACCACGTGACCATTTCGGAAAAAAATATGTTCTATTTTTAAACCGATTTCCATAAGTCGTTTGTTTAATGTGCTTTGGATGAGTATCGCTATCCATTGAGGTAAAGTTCATATTAAAGTTCGAGTTGTTCAGATTTATTTGCGTAAAAATGCAATATTTTGATTGGCTTATACGAGGGTGTTAATTTACTCTATTCTATGGTAAATACTCTATTACCCTTCACGGAGACGCTTGATCAAGTGTGCGCTTTATTAAATACGGATGGTTGTTATGTACAAGACGTCATAGTTTATTACTTTGAATTTGAAATTTAATCGACAGTAATAACAGAACATTCAGTATAATAAATTAAATAACACATATCTGAGAGGGTGATAGAGCAGATTGTTACCCCTCGAAAAGACATTGTCAACCTTGGCTTCGCCTCAGTTGACAATGTTTTCTCGGGGTAACAATCTGCTCTATCACCCTCTCAGCTATGTGTTATTTATATAGTGACTGTATGGTTTTTAACAATGAGCAAAACCCATACCACATAGTAAGCTATAAAAGGTCCCGAAATGAAAACTGTGAAAACAATTCAAATGAGAAACCTAACGATCTAAATGACGAAGACGCCGACGCCACTACCGACGACGTAATATAGGTTTGTTGTGTCTCACTGCCGCTAAATCAATGTCGAAGGCTCGACACAAATCAAAAGACTTGTACTTTATGGTTAACAAATGAGACACTTTAAATCAACTCACACTAAAGTTACAGGGAAATGGGGGGATCGGACTAAGCGACAAAGCGTCAATTCTATAAAATAAGAATTCTCCGATTTTTTTTTAGCGTGTATGATCATTTGAACATACACGAATATCAATCTTTTATTTTTATACGACCGCCAAAAAATTTTGTGGTCGTATACTGGTATGACGTCGGCGTCGTCGTCGTCGTCGTCGTCGTCGTCGTCCGGCGTCGTCGTCGTCGTCCGAAGACACATTAGTTTTCGCACTCTAACTTTAGTTTAAGTTAATGGATCTCTATGAAATTTTACCACAAGGTTCAATACCACAAAAGGAAGGTTGGGATTGATTTTGGGGGTTATGGTACCAACAGTTAATGAATTAGGGACCAAAAAGGGGCCAAAAATAAGCATTTTTGTAACTTCCAGACATAACTTGTGTGTTAGTGTATGGATCTCTCTGACATTGTACCACAAGGTTCCATATCATAAAAGGAATGCTGGGATTGATTTTGGGGGTAATTGCCTCAAAATTTTAGGAATTAGGGGCCAAAAAAGGGGCAAAAAACAAGCATTTTTCTAGTTTCATGACAATAACTTGTGTGTAAGTGTATGGATCTTTCTGAAATTGTACTACAAGGTTCCATATCACAAAGGGAAAGCTGGAAATGAGTTAAGGGGTAATTGCCCAAAACGTTTAGGAATAAGGGGGCCAAAAATAAGCATTTTTCTAGTTTCCAGACAATAACTTGTGTTCAGGTGTATGGATCTCTCTGAAATTGTACTGCAAGGTACCATACCACTAAAGGAAAGGCTGGGATTGATTTTGGGGGTAATTGCCTCAAAATTTTAGGAATTAGGGGCCAAAAAGGGGCAAAAAAACAAGCATTTTTCTAGTTTCAGGACAATAACTTGTGTGTTAGTGTATGGATCTTTCTGAAATTGTACTACAAGGTTCCATATCACAAAGGGAAAGCTGGAATTGAGTTTGGGGGTAATTGCCCAAAACAATAAGGAATAAGGAGCCAAAAGGGGGCCAAAAATAAGCATTTTTCTAGTTTCCAGACAATGACTTGTGTTCAAGTGTATGGATCTCTCTGAAATTGTACTGCAAGGTACCATACCACAAAGGGAAGGCTGGGATTGATTTGGGGTAATTGCCTCCAAATTTTAGGAATTAGGGGCCAAAAAGGGGCAAAAAAACGCATTTTTCTAGTTTCAGGACAATAACTTGTGTGTAAGAGACAAAATTTTAATATAACAAGTGTATGGATCCTTATGAAATTGTACAACAAGGTTCCATATCACAAAGGGAAAACTGGGTTTGAGTTTGGGGGTAATTGCCCTAAATGTTTAGGAATTTGGGGCCAAAAAGGGGCAAAAAAACGCATTTTTTCTAGTTTCCAGACAATAACTTGTGTTCAATTGTACGGATCTCTCTGAAATTGTACTGCAAGGCACCATACATTGTAACACAAAGGGAAGGCTGGGATTGAGTTTGGGGGTGATGAATCATAAGGGGGTTCAAAAAATTTGAGGGGGGATTTTTTTTTTTTTGAATTTTCCATTTTAAATTGGTTATTTCTGATTTATATATAAAAGCAAATAATAATGATATGGTTTGAATAGATAAATTAAAAAAAAAATAAATTCTTAGACCACATTCATTCTGTGTCAGAAACCTATGCTGTGTCAAATGTTTAATCACAATCCAAATTCAGTGCTGTATCAAGCTTGAATGTTGTGTCCATACTTGCCCCAACAGTTCAAGGTTCGACCTCTGTGGTCGTATCAAGCTGCGCCCAGCCGGAGCATTTTATTATAAATTGCATTCTCAGATATACCTCGCACTAATTGAAAAACACAAACTTTTTTGGAATATCTGTTTCACAGGTGACGACGGATATGTTCCAGTTGTCGTAACCACAATCCCGTCATCTTTTCCTCGAATTTGAACTACCACATAAAACCAAATCACTGGGTTTGTACTTTTACGAATAACACGACGAGTGCCACACGTTGAGCAGAATCTGCTTACCCTTCCTGAGCACCCGAGATCACCCCGATGGATTTATATTACCCAGTCATACCGATTTATTGAGTTAAGCCAATTGAAACTGTTTTTCACATTTTTTTCTTATGTTGTGCTGTTACACTACAGTCCGAGGTTAGGTTAGGGTTTAGCGCTCACATACATACATGTTAAACTCCGCCACGTGCACTTTCTTTATGTGCCTGCCCCAAGTCAGGAGTCTGTAGTTCAATGGTTGTCGTTGTTTCATGTGTGTCATATTTGTTTTTCGTAGATTGTTTAGTTATAAATTAGACCGGTAGTTTTCTCGTTTGAATTGTTTCACATTTTCACGTGGTGGCCTTTTGTAGCGGACTATACGGTGTGTTGAAGGCTGTACGGTTGCCTATGATTGCTTACATCCACTGCATTTAAACTCTGGTGTATAGTTGTCTCATTGGCAATCACACCACATCTAACTTTATTTCAATTTCTATGTTGTGTTTTGTATACTGTA